AAAAGTAATCCATTGTCATCCAAATGTACATGAAAAAAATCCTGATTGCCAAAAGCAAATTCCTCAAGTAAAACGAATATGAAAAAATGGTCAGGAACTTTAGCACAAGTGGTTCTCAACCTTCCTAACACTGCAACCCTTTGATACAGTTCATCATGTTCCGGTGACACCCCCCCCCCCAATTATTTTCGTTGCTACTTCATAACTGAATTGTGCTACTGTTAGGAATCATTGGATCCCCAAGTGATCCACAGGTTTGGAACCGCTGCTTTAGCAAAAGTAATCCAATGTCATCCAAATTTACATTAAACATTAAAAGACCTAAAGGTGTGGAGTAATCTAGAGGTAGAGCACCTTTCACATTAAAGAAAATGTTGAAGATAAGTTGGAATTGAGGGGGAAAGTTTCATTTCTTCTTAGTACCATGCACAAACTTAAGCAAATACTGGAAAATGGTGAAAAACTCTCAGAAGTAGAAGAATCTCAATAAACAAAACCATGGAAACAGGTCCTTAGCCATAGACAAGCTAATCTCACAATACCCAAGAATATTTAACTTGCTACATGATCTTAGTGTGTTTAGATACTTAAAATATCTGTAGTGAAATAGTTTTCAAAGTGATGCATATTTTATTTGTATTTCTGCACAGAGCAGAAAGTAATTTGTTATTTTCCAAATTTACTTTTAGTTAAAAAATATTTAATAAAGTGTTTTCAAGGGTAGGGAAAAGTAAAGGATTTGGGAAAACTTAAAGCTCTTCTTCATTATTAAAATTTTCCTGCTCATCCCTATCATCAAACAAGGGGCATTGTGGCATGTTTGTTTGTGAGAGTTTCAGTGGGTATCGTTACCATCCACCTTACAACCCTGATTTGTGTCTTGCAGACTTATTTTTCGAGCAGTGATAGTGCAGAGGGATAAGCGCTGGGCTGCTAATTGCAAGATCAGTGATTCAATCCCATCAGTTGTTGTATGAGAGAAAGATGATACTGTTTGCTCCTATGGAAATTCACTGTATCAAAAACTCATAAGTAGAAACTTCATCTGTCTTATAGGGTAAATATGAGTCGGAATTGACTTGATGGCATCATGGCAGTAAAAAGAAATCTTGCACATATTGAAAGGGCACCTTTACTTTAATAATGTAAAAAAATACTTGAAAATTTCAATTATGTAAAAAAAATTCATTTTTTGGTGAATCCTTGAAGTCTCCATTTAGTTTTTTTTT